GCGATCCTTCCACCTCAGCCTTCCAAGTAGCTGGAACTACAGGCGCCTGCTACCACGCCCGGCTAGTTTTTTAAATTTATTGTAGAGATGAGGTTTCACCAAGTTGCCCAGGCGGGTCTCGAACCCGCGAGCTCAGACAATCCACTCGCCTCAGTCTCCCAAAGTGCTGAGATTACAGGCTGAGTCACCAAGCCCGGCCTCGAGCCTTATTTTTAAAATTAAATTTAAGAAATATTGGGCCGGACTCGGTGGCTCAGCCTGTAATCCCAGCACTTTGGGAGGCCGAGGTGAGTGGATTTCCTGAGCCCGTGGGTTCGAGACCCGCCTGGGCAACTTGATGAGACTTCATCTCTGCAACAAATCAAAAATTAGCCAGGCGTGGTAGCACGTGCCTGTAGTTCCAGCTACTTGGAAGGCTGAGGTGGAAGGATTGCCGAAGCCCAGCAGGTCGGGGCTGCAGTGGCCGGGAGTGTCCATTGCACTCCAGTCTGGGTGACAGTGAGACTCCAACTCTAAATAAATAAATAAATACATACATACAATATTGATACCCAGGCCTGCCCCAGACCAATTAGATCAGTCTCTTGGTGAGGGGGCTCCATGTGAGGCTGGCCAGGTCAGGGCAGACAGAACCTGGGGTCTGGCTGCACCAGAGTGGGCTGCTGGCAACTGGGCTCCTCCCTTGCAGACCTTCTCGGGGGGCTATGTGCACGTGCTGAAGGGTGTGCTCTCAGAGGACCTTCTCATCAAGAGCTTCCAGAAGATGGGCTATGTGCGCCGGGACAACCACCGCCTCATGGTGACCGCCCCACCGCCTGCCTGCCAGCTAGTGCAGGTGGCCCTGGGCTGCTTCGCCCTCCGGCTGGAATGTGAGATCTTGGGCGAGGTGCTGGCCCAGTTGGGCACCAGCGTGCTGCCAGCTGAGGAGCTGCTACAGGCCAGGCGGGCCAGTGGAGACGTAGCTTCCTGTGTGGCCTGGTTGCAACAGCGGCTGGCCCGAGATGAGGAGCCACCGCCCCTGCCCCCCCGGGGCTCCTCTGCTACCTTCAGGGCCCCGCTGGACTTGTACCGGGACCTGCAGGAGGATGAGGGCTCGGAGGAGGCCAGCCTGTACGGGGGGCCATCCCCGGGCCCAGACTCACCCCCAGCGGAGCTGGCCTACAGGCCACCACTCTGGGAGCAGAGTGCCAAACTGTGGGGAACAGGGGGCCGGGCCTGGGAGACCCCAGTCGAAGAGCTGTCCAGGGCTGGCAGCCCACCCTATGGGGCCTTGGAGGAAGAGCTGGCGCCTGAGCCCTCAGCCTTCTCCTTCCTCTCTCTGCGCCGTGAGCTGAGTCGGCCAGGGGACCTGGCCACACCTGAAACCCCAGGGAGCCCTGGGGTGACCAGCCCCCGACACATGCGAGCAGAGGGGGCACCCACCTCAGGCTACGGGTCTGTCCCTGAGCCCCCAGGATACCAAGCACACAGCTGCCTGTCCCCTGGCACCCTGCCCACCCTCTGCTGTGACACCTGCCACCAGCTGCACGCCGCCCACTGTGCAGCCCTGCCTGCCTGCCGCCCCGGCCACTCGCTGCGTGTGCTGCTGGGTGATACCCAGCGGCGCCTGTGGCTGCAGCGCACACAGATGGACACCCTGCTCTACAGCGGCCCCGGTGCCCGGCCCTAGGCCCAGCTAGGCCCCAGGTCAAGGGCTTTCGGGAGGCCATTCCTGTGGTGCTTCTCTTGGGGTTATGGCCACCTAGGGTCTGGGCCACTGGTCTCCTGCCCCTGGGGAGTCCAGGTCCCACAGGGCAGGAGGCGGGGGGGTTCTCATATGGAAAGCTCCTCCTGGAAGGATGCAGCCCCAGCCCCTCTGGCAGCAGGCCCTGAACCAAGCCATGTTTCCCATCCTCACCACCCAAGCCCAGGCCCACATGTGTTGGGTAGAGGATCCTGCCTGTGTGTCCGTGTCAGTGTCCAAGCCTGTCTTGGAAAGGACCCCACCCCACTGGGCCCTGGCTGGGCTGGAATGCATGGCTTGTGCCTTGCAGCCTGGGGCTCAGAATGTGCTGCCTCCCTCCAGACGTACAGAGCTTCTCCACACAGGGGTGTCCTTGGGGCCTGCAGGTGATACAGAAGCCCCCTATTTCTGCTGGGACCTCTCAGGGGTTCTGCCAGGTGTATAGCTAACCAACTGTGAGTTAGCCTCCCTGGGTGTCACAGCCAGCAGAGTGGTGGGAAGGAGGAAGCCCAGCCTACAGACAGAAAATGACCGCAAGCCTGAGGGAGGTGCCTGAGCATGGTGGCGATGGGCAGCAGGTGGTGGCTGGGCAGGCCCTGGGTCCCACTCCCCACCTGGTGGGTCCTGCTCGCCGTCTCCCAGGCTGGGGAGGGCCTCTGGTGAAGACACACAGATACCCCAAACCCTTCCCTTCAGGGCACAGCCCACAAGCTGGGAAAAGGTGTCTGCCCTGACCCGCCTATTAGGGCTGTAACCTGGCTTCAGGAAGGGGCAGGTGCTCATCCACTGTGATGGCCCCTCCGGGCCCACTGCCTCTCATTCCCAGACGCTCAAAAGACATGTCCATGTCACACAATTCCAAGCCCCAAAGCACATTAAACAATGATGAAAGCAAGTCTGTCGGGAAAACTTTAATCTGGCAGGGGTCCTAGTCTCCCTCTCAGTGTGACAGCTACAACCTCCCCAGGATGACATAGGGCAGCATGCAGCTCAGCCTCAGCCAGGGCTCTCCCTATGGGCTCAGGGGCAGCCCCTGCTGTGGGCCCACCCACCTACCTTTGTCCCCCCTCCCCACCCACCAGGAGTCCTGCCAGCCCTGGACAGCCCCTGGCGACTGAGAGAGAACACGGGGTCTGCTCCTCCCACCACGGCTTCACGACACCAAGCTTGAGCCGTGCTCGTGATTCATGCCGAGAAGCAAGAGTCTCAAGTTTCTGCCATGGCATGGCAGGGACGACTAGTGAGACCCCTGCAGCCACCAGTGGCGCCACTGTGGTCTGGCCCTTTGGTAGTGCACAGACTGGGAGCCCCCGCCTGAGCGTCATCCCACATCGACACCAAGCCTGTTTCTGGGGAGACTGGTGGGCAAGGAGACTGCATGGAGTCAGCTGTAGGGGGTGGTCCCCACCAAGGGGGCCTGGTTAGCCTGGCCCACAGCCCTTCCTGGCTGAGGGTGCTGCGCCTGCCATCAGGGCTTGCCCCGCTTGCTCTGGCCCTCGGAGGTGGCTGGGGCGGCCCGCTTGTTGCGGTGGTGAGGGAAAGTGGGCATGAGCTCCGGCTCACAGGCTGTAGGGAGGAAGGGCAGCTCAATGCTGGGCCGGGAGGGCTTCCCAAGCAGATCTGAGACAGGCGGGGCCTGAGGTGGGAGCGCAGGCTCCAGGCTCGAGCCCAGCTCTGCCCCATGCCTCCATCCCTCCTGCCCCTGATAGCTGGCACCACCACAGAGACGACACCAGCCCACACCCCACCTGCACAGTCAATCCAGCTCAGACACAGCAGGCTGCCAGCCAGATCCCTGCATAGCCACCTGAGGAGCCCGGGCACTCACGGAGGGGCTTCTCCTTGAAGTAAGAACTCTCCAGGCAGTCCCCAGCTGTTGCCCTGGAGAAAGGGGGCTGCCATGAGGGTTGGGACCCTGGGCCTTGAGTTCTGTTCCCCTCACATCCCACCGAGTGGAGCAGCCTGTGGGTCAAATTCCCAAAAGCACGCTGGGCAGCAAATGGGGGACCCTCAAAGGATGCCCCACAATCTGAGCACACAGAACCACTTAAACTGGGCAGGGGCAGCTCCTGGCAGTGGGGCCCGTATCTGAGAAACCATCCTTAAAGGATTTGGGTTTAAGGTGTCCTCCCACGCCCACAGAGATCAGGGCCCTCGGCACTACAGCTGCAGGTGAGGTCAGCACCTTTTCTTAGGGTCATACATGAAGAGGAAGTTCAGCAGACGCAGCCCAGCCTCTGAGAGCCATGGGAACTTGTGCTTGAGGTTGTTGTATGGCTGCTTCCTCAGGCTGTATTGCCCCACGAGTGGCAGCTTGGAGAAGCCCTGTGGGAGACAGTGGGGCAACGGAAAGCTGAAGCTGCAGGAGCGGGTAGGGGGAGGGGCAGTGCAGGGCTGCCAGGCACCCACCGGCCAGATGGTCTCACTAGGTGTCCCCAGCAGCTGCACAATCAGGTCAATCTGGTGGATCTCGGACGTGCCAGGCAGGACGGGCTTGTGAGCCAGCAGCTCAGCCAGGATGCAGCCCACGGCCCTGGGAGAACAGCCGACCTTGCTGTGGCCATGACCCCTGCTGAGCACCCCACCCAGGTAGCCCGTGTTGGGGCAGAGGATGCTGTGATGGAATAGGCAAGGCCATAGGCTCCCCCCAAGCCTGTGACAGGTCCCAGAAGGAATATCGAGGCAGCCCCAAGGACAGGCCTGCATCCTGAGGACTGGGTGCCCACCTCAGCCACCAAAGCCGCAGGCTCGTGCTCCTCTCGGGCTCCCAGGCTCAGGCCTGCCTCCCTAGGAGTGGGGAGGCTGGCACAGGCCCTGCTCACACTGCCCCTGCTGGGAGATGGGCCAGGAAGCAGGTGAGCCAGCCCCACCCCAGCCCTAAGTTTGGAGCAGCAGCAGCCCTTACCACATGTCGATGCTGGTGGTCTGGGTGGTGGTTCCCAGCAGCAGTTCAGGAGCTCTGTACCTGCAGGCAGAAGCAACCCACCTCACATGCAGCCCTGCAGCATCCTGTGCACTGCAAGGACCACTGAGGCCTCAGCCACCACCAACCTGGGTGAGGCTTTAGAGCCAGGGCCTCAAAGGGAGAGCATGGCTTGGGAGGTGTGGCCCCGGAGGGTGTGGTCTTGGGAGGGGTGTGGTCTTGGGAGTAGGGATCCTGGAGATGGTGCTAGTCAGACCCGGCTTCTGTGCCACAGGGCAGAGAGGTGGTGCAGGGCTCCCAGCCCAGATCTGACAGCCTTCAGTCCTGCCCTTCCTCAGCACAACCCCACTCTGCCCGCTAAAGCTGGCAGCCAAAAACAGCTATCGAAGCCACACAAGCTGCCTATGCAGCAGTCAGTGACACAGGCTGCCCGTCTCAAGATGGAAACCCAGCCTTTATGAGTGGACAGCCCCCACAGTTCAAAAGTTTCAAGCCTACTCGCTGCCCCCCAGGGGCCACCACATTTCCGAGGGACTCACCAGAGGGTGACCACCTTGGGGGTCATTGGCTTTACTGGGATGCCATAGGCCCGGGCGAGGCCAAAATCCGCTGCAGCAGAGAGGAGAAAGTGTATGGCCACCGAGCTGCCATCTGGGGACAGAGCCTGGCACAGGCACCTTGGGGCCGTAGGGTGCTTATAAGGACCACCCCTGGCTTCCCGAGACATGGTGCTCACTGGCAGACACGTCCTCCATGCATGGAGGCTGGCACTCCACACCCACCTGTCTTCACACAGCCCTTGTCGGTCATAAGCAAGTTGGAGACCTTCAGGTCCCTGTGGGAGAGACAAGGTTGGTGGATCCAGGGACAAGCACCACAGTGATAACCAGAACATCACCACACATGGATGCCTGAGATGCGTTCCGCACACTTCCTGGTGTTTGGGCTTTTTATGAAGATAGTACAGACAGTGGCAAGGCTGTTTGAACACTAGAGTGCTCAGAGACCTTCTGAAGCAAGAGGCAGAGTCAGGTCTCAAGCCAAGGTCTCCCTTCCAATTCTGGCTGGCTCCCCACCTGGGCATCGCCCTCACTGCCCCAGGGCAGAGATGCCTGCCTACCTACAGGCCTACCCCGGCTGTCTCAGCCTCTTTCCTGCTGAGCCACAGGCTTTCTGGCTTGACTGCTCAGACCTAAGTCTCAGTCTTGAGGGGAGAGCAGGTATGTGGGCTTCTCAGCATGCTTGGTTCTGGGCCCTTCCCTATGGAGCAATTAGTGTCTGTTCCTCTCCTGGATAGCACTCAGAATGGCATGCAAGCATGGGCGTCCAGGGGTCATCCTTCCCTTTGTCACCAACAAGCACCATCTCCAACAGCTCTGGAGACCACGCCCCTCCCAAGACCACACCCTCCCTCCACTCAAGCCACCCCTCCTGTTGAGGCCATGCCCCTAAAGCTTCACCCAACATCCCTTCTTCAGGCTGTCCCCATTCACCTATGGATGATGAAGTTCCTGTGTAGGTACTGGAGGCCCCTGAGCACCTGCAGCACGATGCACTTGACCTGAGTGGAAGGCCAGAGACCAGTTACTGCAAGCATGCAGGGAGCCTGACCTGGGCCCTGCCATAGCGGCCCACACAGCAGCCTCAGGAACATGGGGACCGTCTAATGAGGCTCTCAGGCCTGGGCTCCTGAGTAGGTGCTCCAGAGGCCAGAATTCTACCTCATTAAAGCTTGTGGGAGGCAGCACCATGCCACACATCCTCAAGGGGCCGTGTTTGTACAAATGTGTACCACAGGGATCTGTGTGCCCCCAAGCCACGCACCTGAGCCTCAGAGAAGGGTGTGGGCATATTCTCCAGGAGGCTGGCCAGGTCTTGTTCACAGTATCCCATCACTAGGAAGATGCTAGAGGAAAAAGGGGAAGACAGAGGCCACCCGCCTGCCTTCCCCCAGTGGCAAGGTGGCCCTCCCTGCTGCAGGAGTGGACATAAGCAGGTGGGGACCCCAGAGGGAGAGGGATGGGGGAACAGGTGGAGCTCAGCTGGGGCCTAATGCAGAGGCTAGGGGACTACTCACCTCTCCAGGTGGGTCCCCACAACCACCTCCTTCAGCTCCACGATGTTGGGATGGCGAAGACGGAGGAGCAGCGTTATCTCCCGCAGACTGCTGATAGGGATGCCTGCAAGGGAAACAGCCCCAGTGACCCCACTCCAGTGATGGGACACCGACAAGGGAGACAGCCCCGGTGGGCCCACTCCAGTGATGAGATGCCTGCAAGGGAGATGGCCTCAGTGAGCCCACCCCGGTGATGGGACACCTGCAAGGGAGATGACCCCAGTGAGCCCACTCTGGTGACGGGATGTCTGCAAGGGAGATGACCCTGGTGAGCCTACCCAGGTGACAGAATGCCTGCAACAGAGACAGCCTCAGAGAGTTCACTAGCCCAGGTCACATGAGCCCCTCAGCAGGATCCCTTTCAAAATCACCCTCAATGATCATGAACACCTGATACAAGGGGCTGTAGCTGCCCTACTTCAGGAAGAATTAGGGTGACCCAATAAGCACCTTTAACTCTTTTTTTTTTTTTTTTAAGTCGGAGTCTCGCTGTGTCTCCCAGGTTGGAGTGCAGTAGCATGCTCACGGCCACCACAGCCTCGACCTGCTTGGCTCAGGTAATCCTTCCACCTCAGCCTTCCAAGTAGCTGGAACCATAGGTGCATGCCACCATGTCTGGCTCATTTTTTGATTTATTATAGAGATGAGGTCTTGCCAAGTTGCCCAGGTCTTGAACCCCTGGACTCAGACTATCCTCTCACCTATGCTTCCCAAAGTGCTGGGATGACAGGTGTGAGACACCCACCTGACCTCACCTTTATTTAGCTCTTCATTCAACAGAAATGAATGAGCACCTCTATGCTAACTGCTGCATACAACAGGGCATCCATAGCAGGCAGGAAGAGTCCTGTCCACATAGGCAGGTGCTGGGGTGAGCAGGGTGCTGGCCTGGTGTGGAGGGTGACAGCAAGGCTGAGACAGACAGTGAGGGGGGTCACCTGACAGGAGGGAGAGGACGGAATGGACAACACAGCCCCTCCTAGTAGAGAACAGGGAGAACCACGAGGGCTCAGAGAGCTGAGGCTGAGCATGGAGTAGGTGACAGGCTGGCCCATGCTGGAACCCTCCAGAGCTGCTTCGTTCACACTGTGCAGTCGCTCTCGGGAGGGCTGTATCCTGAGGAAGACTCAGCATCTGGCACCTTTCTGCCACTCCCACTGTAGAGTCTCAGCTGTGGTGGTCCCACCCCTTCTTCCGGCTCACCGTCCTTCTCTTTGTCCATCCGCACCTTCTTCAGCGCAACAATCTCATCTGTCTGGGTATCCCGGGCCCGATCTGGAATGGAAACATCCATGGTGGGTTCCAACCCCATCACCCATAATGCATTCCTGGGTTCCTTTCCTCCTGTGACCACCTGAGGCCCAGCAACCCCTAGTCCTCACTCCATGAAGCACCCCAAGCCAAGAAACGTGTTCCCTGGGGATTCTTCCTTTGAGCTGGGTGAGGGTGTTCTGTGTTGCTGGAACCTGCTCTAGCCACTCAGCTATGTCTAACAGCAGAGAAGATACTCCATTTAGAAGCAACACTGCTTTGTGTGAGGATGGCTCCCCAACGAACTGTGTTCATTCGTGCAGCTCCAAAATGCCTGATGCCAATTTCACAGTTGTCACAAGTGCCAGCCGTTTTTTCTTAGACCCTCTGTGGCCCAGGCTGGAGTGCTGTGTTAGCTCATCACTCACTGTAGCCTTGAACTCCTGCCTCGACCTCCTGAATAGCTGGGACTACAGGCCACCACACCCAGCTAATTTTTGATTCACTTTTTGTAGAAACAGGGTCTTGCTCTTTGCCCAGGCTGGAGTGCTGTGGTGCGATCATAGTTCACTGTAGTCTCCACCACCTGAACTCAAGCAGTCCTCCACCTCAGCTTCCCAAGTAGCTAGGACCACAGGTACCACCACGCCTGGCTTTAGCAGCTCTGGGAAGTTCTACAGTTTATTTCTTTAATAGTCACCTCCACTCTGTGGCTACACATTCGTGTTACTGACATTAACAGCCTGATGCTTATATTTATCCAGAATGGTATAAAGTTTGTGGTCATGACACCCAGAACTAAAGTTCCTGAACATGTTTCTGCCCTGGTTTGGAGCACAAGGTGTGAGCCCCTCCCAGCCCCGGTGCAGCTGCTGCCTGGACAGCCCCATTCTGCACCCGTCAGAGCCATGAGCAGTGGCTACAGGCCCCCACTGTGTCCACTCACACACAATGCCATAGGTGCCTTCTCCAATGCGGTTCAGCTTCTCAAATTCCTTCACGCTCCGGCATCGTCCCAGCTGAAAGATAGTGGTGCTGCCAGTTTGGACATTTGGCAGCAGATGGAGCCTTTGAGGACGGACACATCACATGTGACTTGGACAAATGAGTCTGCTCATGTCGTGCTCACCAAACAGAAAAGCAACCCCACACCCGGCTTTTCTGACAAGTAAAGGGGTGATGGTCAGAGGTGTTGGCCTAACCACTCCCTTTCAATCCCACGGTCCCACTGTCTAGTAACAGTAGCCACTGGCCACGTAGGGAAATACCTCTGTGGCCCATACTGCAGTCCCCAACATCCACACGTCACTACTTCCTTAGTTATGCAAGAGTGGCAACTGGCCTTAGGCTGTGAGCTGAAGGGACCCAGGATTTTCCCATGGAGGGAGGCTGGCTGCCACCTGTTTCTCTTAGCCCCGAGCAGCCTGATCTGGGGAGGTCCAGGTGGTGCCACAAGACAGCCAAAAGGAACCAGAATGCCTGGCCCAGTTGTGCAAAACACTTGCCTCTCTGGAATGTTAGGGGCAAGAGAAGGAACGCTTTTTTTTTTTTTTTTTTGAGTCAGAATCTTACTCTGCTGCCCTCGTTGGAGTCCAGTGGCACGCTCACGGCCACCGCAGCCTCAAAATGCTGGGCTCAGGCGATCCTTCCGCCTCAGCCTTCCAAGTAGCTGGAACCACAGACATGAGCCACCATGCCCGGCTGATTTTTTTTATTTATTGTAGAAATGAGGTCTTGCCAAGTTGCGGAGTTGAACCCGAGTTCAGGTAATCCTCCTGCCTCCACCTCCCAAAGTGCTAGGATTACAGGCGTGAGCCACTGCACCCAGCTGGAACGCCCCCTCTTACTCGAGACGCTGTACTCTGGGATCTCTCTGTCCTAGCAGCCTGTACCCTAGCACACAGTCGCCATATGGCACACCTGTGGGTGGAGTGAATAGCACTTAGTGGACCTCAGAAGTCCACGCAGCAAGGTTTGATTCCTAACAGCTCCCACCTAGCTACCCTGCTTCCCTTCTCTAAACAGTCTCGCCCTCAGTCTTGTTACTTTCTGACGTCTGAGGAACCAAGTCGGAATTACCTGGTCTGGAGCCCTTCCGCCATCTCGCGTCAACCTCTCCTGACTTAATTCCCCCCTCTCACATTCTCTCTGCTGTGCTTCCCATTCACACCCTTCCCTTCTCCCTGACTGTGGCAAGCCACCCCTTCTCATCTCTTGGTGTCCAAACCCGACCCCAAAGAAACGCCCAGCTCTGCGAAGCTCCCGGAGCCCGTCCCACTCCCGCACTCGTGCGTTCCGAGGCACCATCCCCGGCCTGGTATGTCCGGGCATCCTCGGGAAGTTTTCCAGCTCACTGATGTAGCCCGGCGTCGGCACAGCGCTCTGAGCTCCGAGGCGCGGCGACAAAGGACGAGAGTACCGCTCCCGTCGCTCAGAAGCCACTACCCGCTCCTGTTTCTCACCACCGCCGAGACGCGATCCGCTGCCGGAACCCCCCCGCCCCTCCTCAGCTAGCCGTCCGCCCCGGGAACACCACACAACGCCCCGTCGCCGTCCTTTTCTTTACAAGAGGGCGAGTGGCAGCACCTCGCACCGGGTTGCTGAGCGGATAAGAGACCGTCACGCAGCCCGTAGCCCGTGTAAAAGCCGCCGGGCCGGGGGGCGCCCGGCCTAGCGGGACCTCCGACTCCTCGCGGGGACATGCCAGCACCAGCGGCTCGCGGCGCGGCCGGGGCCTGCCCTCCCCACCGAGATCACGCCCTGAGAGCAGGCCAGGACCTCGCAAAAGGACGCGCCCCGAGCCCGGCAACCGGACTGACGACCGACCCCGCGCGCTTTCGGCCCTGCCGCAGGGAATCTGGGACCGTCGTCCCACGCGTGCCGGAAATCTCGGCGCGGCAGCACGACACTGCGCGTGCCAGCGCGCTTGGGCCTGGACGGCCGCGGGCGGGGGTCAGAGCTGCCCGAGGGGCGCCGCGTCGCACCCTGTGTTCCGCAGGCACCGTGAAGAAGCCTTCCTTACGGATACGCTTCAGACGGATCTGCTCCGACTCCGGGTCTGGCTCCGCCATGCCGACCGCCGCCCATTTGTGCGCAGGCGCGTTATCTACTTCCGGGGAGGCGCCTCTCCTTAGCAACGGTTACCAAGGAAACCACTGAGGCCCCGCCCAAGGACCTCGGTTCCTAGGATCTGCTCTGACGCCGCGGTTGAGCCTGGATACCTGACCCGGCAGGGCCGTCGGGGGAGGAGGCTGGAGTGGGAGGCGACGTCGATCATCCAGGCGAGGGTCCTCCAGGCAGGGGCCCTCGAGGTGTGGGTCCCCCGGGCGGGGGAAAGTCTCTACGCGAGGGTCCTCCGGGTGCGGTTCCTTCAGGTGAGGATTCCTCTAGGTGTGGGTGCTCCAGACTAGGATCTTCCAGGCGGAGGAAAGCCTTCACGCGCAGGGTCCTCTAGAAGCGCATACGGCTCTTGGTCCAGGGTTGTAGGCTTCTGTGCTCAGCACCTGGTGCTGGAAGGGACAGAAGGAAAGCTAGTACAGCTGCCAGAAGGATAGAAATGACAGGATAGAAATGGCAGGAGCAGGGTGAAAGACGAGGGCGGGCTCTGAGGAGACAGGTGTTCAAGCTGCACTCGGCCGGGAAGAAGCTGCGGTGTCAGCGGCAGGCGCTGTCCCATGCCTTCCTTCACTTCCCAAGGCCCAACTCCAAGGCTGGTATGAGCCCCTCCTGCAGGTGTCTGCCTTGCCGACCTCTGGCCCAGCCCTGGAAGATGGAAGCAGAGAAGTTGACATGGAACGCTTAAGAAGCACACTGGTGCACGGGACCAGGATTGTGGCAGGCCCTCCTGTCTAGCTTCACTGTTGAAATCCAGTTGAGCTAGTGGGGCTCAAACCATGGCCCACAGCCAGGCCTAGGCTAAACTCAGATTGGTATTGATCAGCATGAAGAAAATAAAATGCCTCCCCTTCGCACATTTCCTTCACATCCTGGAGCCTCCAGGAGATGTTTAAAGTACAAATGTCATTCCCACGGAGCAGAATCAGGAGGCAGTGCTCTAGAAGGAAGGGGTCCCATTTCCAGCCCTCCCTCTCTACCTACAACACTCGGCGTTAAAGCTAGGGAGAGCTGTGCACCTCTCTGGAGCCAGCTGGGAGAATAGGAAGAAGGGGAATGGTGCACTAGCCAGTGCCAGAGAGCAACCCAGGAGCCCCAAGAGGCCAAGGGACTGCACCTGGCTACCTATGATCCCTTGTGGAAGCCTTCTCATAAGGGTGGAAGACTGGGCTTCCAGGTGCCCATCTGGGCTCCAGTTACTTAGGTTAATGCAAAGCAGGCTTTCAGTAGCACATCTACAGTATTTAAAAAAGTGAGATATCTCCTGCCAGATTGCTTTCCCTTTGGGGAATTTAAAACACATTTAAGCAAAGTAGTCTTTAAGCAACATCATATCTTCATGCCATGCATTTTTTATTTTGGAAATTCATTTTTCAGTCACTACTTAGGTTGTATGTATGCATATTTATAGTGATATATGTATAGGAGGGTGTACTAGATAGGGCTGTGTGTGCATGCATGTGTGCATGTATTAGATAAGTATGTGTATATATGTTAGATAGGCACATGTGTACTAGAAACTGTATACTGTGTGACAGCAGCAGACCCCTTCAGCTGGACCCCTGAAAAGGCTGTGTCCATGACTGGTGGTCATGCTGCTGTACCCTGGTTCTGTGAGCCCACAGAGGCCAGCACATCTTGGAGAAAATGTGTAGTCTGCTGGCCAGTCTAGCAACTAACAAAGCTAACACACTGTCACTAGACAAAATGCGCAAGAGCAGACAGGACAGGTCACCGTCTCGTGCAACACTGGAGGAAAGCCCAGCCTGCCAGGGGTTGCTGGGGAGGGTGAAGTCAGCTGCGAAGTTGTCTACGGGCATCGTACATGGGTCCCTTGAGTGGCCTTCACTGTCTGGTGCCCTCACCTAAGGGCCAGAAAGACAGGACTGTGCTGACAAGGCCACTTCCAAAGCCCAAGTGCCATGGCTGCCCTGCACCCAGGACACATTCCACATTCTTCTTCTGGGCCTTTATATACACTGGGTCAGATTACAGTCAAGTAAAAGTCTTTGGGCCCCTGTTAGGTCACTTTGCACCTTTCAGTTCTGGAACATTTCACCTTGAGGTTTAGTCCTCGGAATCTGACCTTTCCTCCATGTTTGGGGATATCTCACTATAACTTCCAAGTCTTCAGAAAGGATTTTCACTGTCCTCTGTGAGTCAGAGTGTGAGATGCCACCTGCTGTCTGTTCATCATCCTGCACAGCCAGCCACTTCCAACAAGAATGCATTCCTTTATTCATTGATTACCACAAAGTTCATGCCAATCACTCACGCCTCCGCAGAGCTGCCGGTGGCTCTGGGAAGGTAAGACCAGGGTGGACCCTGGGGCAGAGCCTCATGTACTGAAGAAGGGACGCCTGCAGTTTCCCATGGGATGGGTGCCCTTCCGCCATCCTTGCCGGACTCCTATCGCAAGGAATGATGACAGCTACTCCAGGGTGCATTTAGTTTTTGCTATCTAATTTATAGGCATCTACTGTGCTGGGGTGCCTGTGTCGGTGGTAGAGGCCCCAGTCATCCTGCTCCTGGATAGTTTTCTGCTCCTCACTTCCCACAGAAGTGCGGCTGTTTAGAGTCTCATTTGAGGCTCGAGTGATAATGATCCGTGGAATGACACATTTCTTCTTATTGGACTTTTGTTTGGCATCAGGATTCTCTAGAAGGGAGAAAACATGAGGCCTTGAGTACAGGTATGTGGAAAAGTAGGTATGTCTGTCTTAGATCAGAGTAAAGGAACTTGATTAAAGGAAGAGAAGTAAAGAAAGAGAACAGTGTATGATCAGAACTGTCCATGAACATTCCAGAGCCTAAATGGATTTACAACTAGGCCACGAGGGTCATGGATACTGGATGCCCTCTTTCAAGGAAGAAAACAGGAGAAACACTCTCCAACATCCACCATGGAGAGACTGCACTGCAGAACGGGTCAGGGTGACTGGCACAGGAAGGAGAAAGGGCATGCATCCCAGCAGGTGCTGCCTCTGAGGTTAGGGTCAGAAAGAGCATTTCCAAGGGATTCTCACTCCAGCAGAAGCCGGGCACCACCACAGGGAGTTTGGGTACATCTATTCAGGCTGCTGTGAAGCACCACTGAGAGGTCTCTGTCTGCACATGTGTGTATGTACATAAAGTCTGCCTACTCACATAATCACATAATTTTTTTTTTTTTTGAGTTGGAGTCGCACTCTGTCGCCCAGGCTGGAGTCCAGTGGCACGCTCACAGCCACCGCGGCCTCGACCTGCTGCACTCAGGTGATCCTTCCGCCTCAGCCTTCCAAGTAGTTGGAACTACAGGCACGTGCCACCATGCCCGGCTAATTTTTTGATTTATTGTAGCGATGAGGTCTCACCAAGTTGCCCAGGCTGGTCTCAAACCCACGAGCTCAGGTAATCCTCTCACCTTGGTCTCCCAAAGTGCTGGGATTATAGGCATGAGCCACCATGCCCAGCCCCATACTTTTTCAAACGTGATTGTCCTGGTCATATGTACCTCGACTTGTTCCCCACTTAATACTTGTGACCTTGTTGTATGGTAGGATGAAAGTGGCAGTGACAGCTTTGACTGTCTGTTCTGAACCCTAGAATAAAAACACACCCACAGCTTCTGGTGTAGTCCTCCATGACCTACATTTTATAGACAAAACAGCCACAGAGAGGTTAAGTCACTTGCCCAAAGCTAGACAACTAGGTGCCAGACAGAGAGGTGGAGACCAGGACTGTAGGGTCCAGAGCACCCTTGGCCTGCAATGCTGGATTATACAGCCTCATTTAACTGCCAGGCAACCATGGCTGACAACCCACTGGGCACTGAATAGTCCCTTCTTTTTTTTTTTTTTTTTTCATTTCTTAGAGACAGGGTTCTGGCTCTGTCACCCAGGCTGGAGTCAGTGGCTATTCATAGGTGCAATCATAGTTCATTGCAGCACCCAGTTCTTGAGCTCAAGTGATCCTCCTGTCTTAGCCTCCTGAGTAACTGAGACTACAGGCCCACACCATCATGCTACCATGCCCAGTTTCCTTATATCTGTATCATTATAAAAAGCCAAAAACAGACCATGTGCTGTGGCTCATGCCTGTAACCCCAGTACTTTGAGAGGCCGAGGCAGGATGACTGCTTGAGTCCAGGAGTTTGAGGGCAGCCTATACAACATAGCAAGACCTTGTCTCTACAAAAAAATTTTTTAAATTAGCCAGGTGTGGTGGTGTGCACCTATAGTCCCAGCTACTCAGGAGGCTGAGATGGAAGGATCACTTGAACCCAGGAGGTCACAGCTGCAATAAGCTGTTATCACACCACTGCACTCCAGTCTGGATGAGAGAGCAAGACCCTATTACAAAAACAATAACAAAACTGCATCTCATCTTATTTTGCAATTGAATTAAATTTGATAGTTCATTTCTTCACACTGACTATGAAAACTTTTTATGTGTTAAGTTCACTATAAAATGTTGATTTTACAGTTGTACATGTCATAATTCTTAATTTCCAGACATTTTGTGCCAGTGTGCACACACCCTGTAGAAGGTCATGTCTCCCACCTGACAGCATGGCAGGCTGTGCCCCATATCTGTGCACACTAACACTACTAGACCCTTCTCAGCAGCTTGTGTTCCTCTGCTGGGGGTGGGGGTGGGGCCATCAATTATGTAACCAGCTCCCTTTGATGAATGTAATTTATATTATCTCCAGTTTTTATCTTTTCCAAACAGTGCAACAATGAACATTCTTGCATTTATGCGTTTACACACTTATGAGGATTTGTCTATTGGTCAATTACTAGTAGAATGTCTGGGTCAAGGGTAACACATTTCTAACTTTGGCAAATATTGTCAAATTGTTTTCTGTAAAGATTGTATCAATTTATATTTCCACAAAGAGACTATAAACTGAGAAAAGCATTCCCTATTCCAAATTTATAAAAATATTCACCCATTTCTATTTAGTACTTTTATAGTTTTATTCTCTATGTAAAACTTTTTGATTCATATGGATTTTTTTGAGTAAGAATCGAGGTAACAATATTGAGCCTTTGTTTTCTTTTTCTTTTTTGAGTTGGTATCGCACTCCATTGCCCAGGCTGGAATGCAGTGGCACACTCACGACCACCCCAGCGTCGACCTGCTGGGCTCTGGCAATCCTTCTGCCTCAGCCTTCCAAGTAGCTGGAACTACAGGCGTGCGCTAATTTATTTATTGTAGAGACGAGTTCTCACCAAGTTGCCCAGGCTGGTTTTGAACCTGCGGGCTCAGGTAATCCACTCACTTCGGCCTCCCAAATTGCTGGGATTACAGGCTGAACCACCGAGCCCGGACCCAAGCCTTTGTTTTCGAGTTGGAGTCTCACTCTGTCACCCAGACTGGAGTGCAGTGGCCACTCCCAGCCACCGCAGCCTCGACCTGCTGGGCTCCGGCGATCCTTCTGCCTCAGTCGTCCGAGTAGCTGGAATTACAGGCATGCGCTACCACACCAGGCTGATTTTTTTATTTATTGTAGAGATGCGGTCTCACCAAGTGGCCTAGGCGGGTCTCAAACCTGCAGGCTCAGGCAATTCATTCACCTCGGCCTCCCAAGGCGCTGGATTACAGGCTGAGCCACCGAGCCCGACTGCCTTTGTTTTCTATGTCACTAGTTGACTGTCCCAGCACCATTTGGTGAGTGCAGACTCCCATCTCTTTTCCATGTATTTTACATGGTGCCATTGCCATAGACTCCCATAACCTGCACTCCAGCCTGGGTGACAGAGTGAGACTCTGACTCAAAAAAAAAAATAATAATAATAAATAAAGTTTCTTTATTTAGAAACATGAATCTCTAGGGTTCTTGACACATTACCATCCTAGGCATTCACTGTGGCATAATACGTTACCACAAGCTTAGTGGATCAAATCAGCACATGTGCTTATCGTCTCAAGAGTTTCCATGGGCCATGAGTCCAGGTGTGACTTGGCTGGACTCTATTCAGGGTCTCCTCAGGCAGAAAACTCACGTGAGATGGGGTCCTCTAGAATTTATTTCTTTATGGTTCAGAGACTGAAGTCCTCATTGTCTTGCTGGCTTTTGGCAGGGCCTTGCTCAAAGTGCCTAAAGCAGATGATTCCCTGATGGCAACATCAGAGACCAGTTTCTTTTTTTTTTTTTTTTTTTTAAGTTGGAGTCTCACTCTGTCGCCCAGACTGGAGTGCAGTGGCCACTCCCGGCCACACAGCCTCGACCTGCTGGGCTTTGGCGATCCTTCCGCCTCAACCTTCCAAGTAGCTGGAACTACAGGCGCGCGCTACCATGCCCGGCTAATTTTTTTATTTATTGTAGAGATGAGTTCTCACCAAGTTGTGCAGGCGGGTCTCGAACCCGCGGGCTCAGGCAATCCACTCACCTCGGCCTCCCAAAGCGTGGAATTACAGGCTGAGACGCCGAGCCCGGCCCAGAGACCAGTTTCATGGAAGACTGTTTTTCCACAGATGGGGGGATGATTTTTGGATGGCTCAAGTGCATAATATTATTATGCACTTTATTTCTATTATCATTACATTGTAATATATAATGAAATAATTATACAACTCACCATTTAAAGAGAGGTACAGATGGAAGTGGTAAATAAAATAATGGGCGGGTCATGCAGGGACTAAAGTAAGTGTCAGATTCTGACTTAAAGCCTGCAATAGATGCAGCTGTACAATTGAGGTACATCAACTCACTTGCCACTCACTGATAGGGTGTTTTATTTTTTGAGTCAGAGTCTCACTCTGCCACCCAGGCTGGAGTACAGTGGCACGATCACAGCCACTGTAGCCTCAACCTGCTGGACCCAGGCGATCCTTCTACCTCGTTGATAGCATTTTGATATGAGTCTGCAAACAACTGATTTATGATGGTCTCTGTGCAGTCAAACCTCACTGAAAATGTTCATCTGTATTTGCAGCTGCTCCCCAGCATCACCGCCTCAGCTCCACCTCAGACCATAAGGCATTAGATTCTCATAAGGAGCGTGTAACCTAGATCCCTCGCATGTGCAGTTCACAATAGGGTTCATGTTCCTATGAGAATCTAAGGCCTCCACTGATCTGACAGAAGAAGGAGCACAGGTTGTAATGTGAATGACGGGAAGCAGCTGTAAATACAGATGAAGCTTTGCTCCCGCGCCTGCTGCTCATCTCCTGCTTTGGGGCCCAGTTCCTAACAGGCCACGGACTTGTTCCGGTCTGGGGATTGGGAACCCCTGTCTTAGAGGCCTCCAGCCTTTTTTAATGGCTTCTCTGATTAGGTCAGGCGCACCAGGATAATCTCCCATTTTGATTAAGTTAAAGTCAATTGATGAATACCTACTGTCAGGAGTGACGTCCATCCTCTTCAGAGGTTCCATCCACACTCAGGGGCAGAGTTGCACAGGGCTCTTTACCAAGGGCAGGGAGCTTGAGGACCATCTCAGAATCCTGCCACCACATCACCGACTGCCTTCAGGGAAGGTGTGTCCCTCGATGATCAATGTGTCCTTAATGTGATACTATCTTGGCTACTCATATATGTTGCGTGCACTTTTTGAGTTTACCACTTGTTTATAGAAGGCTTGAGAAGATGTTTAACATGTTAATGTCCTCCAATTCTTCAATACTTCTGATGTCTTTCTGTGCTTTGAGGCTTAGAAAGATATTCCCCATTGAGAAATCAAATTGATATTTACATCTTCATTTTTTTTCTATTCACTGTTCTGTTCTCTCTTGTTTATCTGGAATTTATCTCAGTAAATGGCAAGAAGTTACACTCCCACTTGTGTTTTCCCTTAAAGTGCTGGACAATTTTCCTAGCATAATTTACTATAGAATCTTTATTTTCTTACGTATTTTGTTACCATCATACATAGTTATACACACACACACACACACACACACACACATATACACACACAGGGGCTTATTCTTGTCCATATTTTCTATTTCACTGATCTGCTATTCTTATACTGGAACTACATTTAGGTATTGTAACTTTTGATACATTTTTAAAGTTTTTTATTTTAAATAATTACAGGCTGTTAACAGAAAGTTGCAAAAGTAGTACAGAGAGGGTTCACATATCCTCCACCCAATTTCCCCAATCTTATTTAACTGAAGTACAATAGCAACACAAGGAACTTGACATTGGTACAACGTGTGTTTATAGGGCTATGCCATTTAATCACATAACCAGCACCACAACCAAGACACAGAACTGTTGATCACCATCATATCTCCCTCCTGGTGTCCCTCCACAGACACACCTGTTCTCCCCACCCTGTTCCTGACCCCTGGCAACCACTAGTCTGTTCTACATCCACACAATTTTGTCCTTTGGAGAATGTTATACAATGGAGTCATACAGTGTGTGACCTTCTGAGATTGGCTTTTTTCACTTAATATATTTTTAAATAACTGATAGCAATGTCCCTTAAATTTCTCTTTTTTTTATTTTTTTTTTGAGTTGGAGTCTCACTCTGTCACCCAGACTGGAGTGCAGTGGTTGCTCCCAGCCACCACAGTCTTGACCTGCTCGGCTCCGGCGATCCTTCCGCCTCTGCCTTCCAAGTAGCTGGAACTACAGGCGTGCACTACCATGCCCGGCTAATTTTTTGATTCATTGTAGAGATGAGGTCTCT